AGCCGGTGTTTGTTTGTTTTTAATTTGTTTTCTTATGCTTTCAGTAAGTGTTTTTATAAGTTTGAAAATCCTCATGGCAGGGAGCTTTTAAATGGATGATAAAAATTACTAAAATTATAATATGACCAAGTCAAAGAATCTCATACTACTGATTTGACAGCTATTGTTTATTTACTACACTTGTTTTCACCTTATTTCTACTTGTGTTTTAGAGATGCAAACACAATTTTTAGAGGGAATTCCTTGGCTACCCGATGTCTAGATGAGATGATGAAAATAGTGGGAGGGCACTACCTGAAAGTAACGTTAAAACCTATTCTGGACGAGGTACGGAATGAAAAACGCTCTCTGATAACAGTAGTTTGCATGGCCTTATATAGCATCTGTTTTATTTAGTGATCTATTGATGAGAATGATATATCCATTCATGTATTACTGAAAGAATAAGTCTGAACACTTTAGAAGTAAAATAAATTATTTACTGTTTCATCAATGGATTTTTACTCAAAGGATACATCATGGTATAATCCACATAGTTATTTTTATTTAGTTCTTTGGAAATACTGTATATATTATCTCTGGATAGGGGTTTTAAACTTTGTTGTAGTTTAATTTTTATAATTAATTTGTATTGTCAGAAAAATAATGTTTTCATTTTGCCAAATATTTTAAAAAGCATTAAATGAAAAAATTAATCTATTTTCCAGATATGTGAATCCTCAAAATCCTGTGAAATTGATCCTATTAAATTGAAAGAGGGAGATAATGTAGAAAATAATAAAGTAAGTCCTTGTTATCTTTATAACTTCATTATAATCAGCCTTGAAGATATATCTGTCTCCCACTTATGTGGCAGTAATGCTATATGGAGGGAGGCAGTGCTTTTGATTCTCTACATAATGCCCATACTATTAGCAGCATTTCCTGTGTCTAGTTTTTAGAATGTTATCTCATAGGGTTTCACTATATTTTTGTTCTTGTCTCTTTTTGGCTCTGGTAATAGTAGTAGAATAAGGCTGTCTCTAGTTGCAGCCCCATTCTGGTCAGTCCTTTAAGTTCAAACTGGTCAGGCTAAGTAACACAATGGCGTTATCAGCCAGTACTTAAAGTTGTCTCTGGGACACAACAGTTGTGTTAGAGTCACAAGTTTTCATTGCAGTGGATAACAGTGCCACAGTGTCTACGTGCCTGCCTATCTGAGTTATTTTCAGAATTTCCCTTGGGATCATTTTACTCTCTGCTGCTTCTTGTGCAGTGTATTCCATACATTCACTTTTATATCAGCTAATCCAAATCTAACGTGAGCTTAGAGAAGGGAAACAGAGCTCTAGAATACTAGATAATGACTGCCTAATGGAGCTCATTTTCTTCCATGAATACTATTGAAGATGTGTAAAAGTTAAAATCTTAATGTTTACCTTTTTAAATCCTACAGGAAAATCTGCGCTACTATGTAGACAAGTTATTCAGTACAATTGTAAAGTCAAGTATGAGCTGCCCCACTGTAATGTGTGATATCTTTTACTCTCTAAGGCAAATGGCTACCCAAAGATTTCCTAGTAAGTGCCTTGTGTTACTAAAACATGCCATTTCTTTTGCAATATTTGATTTTTTTTTTGGTAAATTTATTGTGTATTTGGTTTCTGTGAAATGTTTACAGTTTATAGGTACAGTCTTACTTAGTTTTTCAAAATAGTTCTTGCTTTTTAATGAAACATCTGATTTAATTTTCTTATAATCTCAAAACATATGTTTTATTTTATTATAATAACAACTTTATCCAAAGAGCAAATCAAAATCAGCATTATTTTTAAGAAAGGAAAAGTTTAGAACTATAACATTATATAAATAAACATTTATACCAGGTGCTTATGAGATTGTTAAATATGCTAATCAAAAACACCTTTCTTATTTGTACCAACGCCCTTTTCTACTTGCATACATTCAAATAGTGAGAATTTTTAGTTTCATACAATGGACTAGATTTGACAGTTTGAGACTGATAGGTTTTGGTGGTGATAGGTTTTTAGACATTAAAAACATCTCTGTCATAATATACACAGAATTTTGAGGTACATTTGTCAGTAGCTGGCATGTTTTAATTTTGCTCAGCAGCAGTGTCAGAGCTTTGCTTAGAAACTTTATATAAAGTTACGAGTTGCGATCTCTGATTGTCAATACTTGGAATTATTCTAATTATATACATATCTGATAAGTAGATAAACTTGCTATAGCTGTCTTTCCAGATCTGCCTGTGATAGGGGGAAGAGGGAGGAGATAAGGCAGCTACTTAAATTATCAGTCTTACCCAGCTTTGTGAAATCTTAAGTTTATTTCTATAACCACCTGAAGAGATTTTATTATTTTATCATGCTCTTTTTCTTGTTGTTATTGTTCATTTTAGAAAGAGAGGAAGGTGAGAGGGAGGCAGAGAGAGAAACATCGATGTGAGAGTGAAACATCGATCAGTTGCCTCCTGCACACACCCCAACTGGGAATCGAACCCGCAACCTGGGTATGTGCCCTGACCGGAAATCGAACCCATGACCTTTTCGGTGTGTGGGACGATGCTCTAACCAACTGAGCTACACCGGCCAGGGCGTATCATGTTCTTCTAAGTGTGTGAATGTGTACATATGTGTGTGCAGTTATCTGACCCTCCACTAAATTTACCCAGTGCTAAAGTGGTGGGGCTGAGTTGCCCAACGAGCATGTACATAAATTCAGATCTAGATGTCTTTGCTAATTGAGTAAAGACATAAAGAGTTAACCTCAAATAAGTATACTCTCGCCTTTATAACAATCTAGTCTTTGTAACAAAAATAAGGGGAGCAGAGACATTAACATATGGAAAGATGAAATGCTGACTGAAATTCATTTTGGTGAGTTAGATCATGGTAACCACATTGAATTCTTAGTGACTGAACAGACACATGCCAGCCTGCATTATCTCCTACTCTCATCTACACAATACCACACGAGGCAGGTACTACTCCCCTTAGGTAGATAATGAAACAGGTTTAGAGAAGTTTAAGTAACTTGCATAAGATCCATGCTCCCCTTAGGTAGATAATGGAACAGGTTTAGAGAAGTTAAGTAACTTGCACAAGATCCATGACATCGCCAATGGGCAAGCAGGGTCTCAAATCTGGGCCTGGCCTATTCCAAAGCATGCACTAATCACAGTACTCTACCCAGTCATCTTGGCGTAAAATATGCTTTATCTATTTAATTCTTGTTTATGTAAAAAATCTAAAACACATTTTTTATTTTTGTATAAATGCAAAAGGACCTCCTTGACTGACTTTTTGTTGGCTTAAATATTAATATGTCTTCCTATCCTCAGTAGACTATAGTAGTGATAGTTTTATTATCATAAAGTATTTTTAGTTTCTCATTTGTTATCACTCTGGGAAGAAGATGGGTTGGGAAGGGGGAAGGAGGCAGTGAGTGGGAAGCAAGTATTATTAAGGAATTACAAATTTAATGACTTGTCAGTGACTGCCTGTTTGTTGAGTGACTTATAAGAGTTAAAACTCAACCCAAATCCAGACATTCTTGCCCTCACCACCTGCTTCTCTGCCATCTGATTGTTGGGTTAAGTGTTGACTCTGGTCTGAAACGAAAGCTGTAGGTAAATGACTAAAGCCACACATTGTCTCCATTTCATTTGTGTTTTTATATGGAATATGGATCATTTTTTTAAAAGTAAAGATTTTAGCCTAGTTGTTTTTATGGCATAGTCTTTGACATTATCAAGATTTTTGAGGGGAAAATTAAAACAATATCCTAAAACTGAAAACAATCTCCTATCCAAGTCTTCAGAGATTCAGTATTACCACTAGGTAGTGCTAGATACTACTTTTATTTTTGTTGTAATTTTACAAGTCTATTCTTGCAGGTTGAGGAAAGAAATACTTTTCCAAATTAAAATATTTCTGAAAACCTAGCAGCTTTGCCTTTCATTTTCTTTATTGGTTCTTTCAGGGGTTTTTTAGTCATAGAATTTTTCCCTTTAATTTAGTCATAATCATCACTATCATTTCATCAATTCAGTACTTACTAGACAACTTATATTGAGCTCCGAATTAGTTTACATGTTTTTTCAGTATTTTTTACTTTGTCATCTTTGTTTTGTGATTCAGTGTTTTTGTGCATGACATTTCACCGTTTTTTCCTGCAGATGACCCTCATGTTCAGTATTCTGCAGTGAGCAGCTTTGTATTTCTTCGTTTCTTTGCTGTAGCCGTAGTATCACCTCATACTTTTCATTTGCGACCTCATCATCCAGTAAGTGTTGTTCTTCTCAAAGCTTTATTCCATTTTTATTTGTTTTTATTTAAATGGAGAAAAGGTAAAATAAGCCCATTTCACTTGGCTATGTTTTCTTATACTTAAGTTCACTGGGCATTTTTCTTGGCCATTTCAGTTTTTTAGAGAAGGCTGAAAATTCTATTTTTTGTTGTTGCTGTTAAAGCATATTACACAGGGTAATAAAATATTGATACTTGTTGAAGCTTGGTGATGGATACAAAGAGGATTCATTATAGTTTCCATCTGCTGTTGTGTATGTTTGTAAATTTCCATAATACAAAGGGTGTTTTTAAAATTAGTTATAGGTTTAGTTTAACCTTGCAGATATTTTTCAGTCTTACACAGATTTGAAGAGGACCATTTCTGAAAGGTATAGAAACTTGTATTGGAGCATAACTTGTTTCGTATCTCTGTAGTTCTGCTTTTTATTCACCTGAGATTTGAAATGATAAACTTCTTTAAAGCATATAATCTTTTGTTGTGAAGTCTATTTAATTACTTCAACAGGAATCTGCACCACATAGATTTACATTTCTTAACACTTTAAAACTCCTTGTTGTTCCTGTTTGTGTTTCATTCCCATACAGTATATTTCTGCTGGTTCTTTAATCTTTTATGTCCAATTATTTTATAATCTTATCTGTTTGCTTTTGTTGCTGATTTGTGTAACAAATAATTATAGCCAAAATTTATTTAGTGCTTACTAGGCTTTGTTCCAGGTACTTTGTATGTTTTAACTTAGTCCATCAAGGAACCCAGTGAAGTAAATTCTGTTATCATCCCTGTTTACAGATAGAAAAGCCACAGTTCAGTAAATTTTCCAAAGTCGAACAACTAATAAGTTATGATGTGATCTCAGTTTGAACAGAATTAAACCAAATTCTGACTCAGTCAGTCATCCCAGTGTGTGAGCCTACCCCTCTTAGGCAGTCAGATGTTGGAGTACCTATAATGTATCAGACACTGCACAGCACTAGTGAGGCAGGGATGAAAAAGACCTCCCTGCCCTTAGGAAACTCACTGATACAGTGTATAGAGGACCTATGGGTTTGGGAGAAACCAGGCTCTGAGGGCCACTCCTCCTCTTGACATTGGCCACTCATTTAACTTTGAGAACTGACTAGGACCATGCTACTGTGGCAGCAACATACCCTTTCTTGTCAAAGGACAAATGATCTGTTAGTAGCTGCAGCAGAGAGTGGGCCATTGTCCTTTTGTTCACACGCTGTTCTTTCTATGGCTATGTCACTGAAGCTGTACTGAACTCAGGGGAAGCAAAAGTTTGGACATAAATAAAACTCCTACCTCCGAGCTTGTGACCCTGCCTTGTATTCAGACTTGGATTTTGCATATTCCTGTAAACAAATGTTGCAATAAAGTCCTTCTAAGCAAAAACTCTTGTTATCTTAGGTTACTTTTCATATGCCAGAAAGTCTGTTTCATAGTGTCATATAACCTTGTTGTTTACTTTTAAGTGTAACCTTTTTCCTTCTTTTTAAGAACCTTTCATTCTAATTAGGTAAATAAGGCAAATACATAAGATACGTAATCTAAAACTACATATATAAATCTAAAAGTAGCACCTGATTAGTACCAAGTAAGAAGTATAGCCCAGCCAGCATGGCTCAGTGGTTGAGCATCGACCTAGAATCCAGTAGATCACGGTTTGATTCCCAGTCAGGGCACATGCCTGGGTTGCAGGCTCAATCCTCAGTAGGGGTCATGCAGGAGGCAGCTGATCAATGGCTCTCTCATCATTGATGTTTCTCTCTCTCTCCCCCTCTCCCTTCCTCTCTGAAATCAATAAAGACATATTTATTAAAAAACAAACAAAAAAACCTGTATAAACAATTCTACTCTACAAATTGAGAGCAAGTCATGATCCCAGGAACCTAGGGGTGATGACATTGTCAATACCAGTATTGAAATTTACAGGGTGGTTGGGGAGGAAAACCAATTAAAGTTCATTGGATTTTACATTTAGAAGTTCTTTGAATTTTGAGAAGCCAGTTTTAGTAGAGTAAAAGAGAAGAAGAAAATCAGATCACAGAAGATTAAAGAATAAATAGGTAAGTGTAGTTTTACTAGGAAATATATCAAAAGTGAGCTTGCATTGCTGCTAAAACACATGGGCACTCAGATATGTACATGTGTGTACATACATGGATGATTAATTTCTAAAAAAAACTGATTTTAAAACATGGGTTATATTAACATTCACATCATAAATATAATTACTTTGGGAGGAATTGTCAATTATGTGTGGCTTCTTTAGTCTTTATTCCTTAGTCCAGTGAGTTGTGCCCATCCTCAGCTAGATTTTAACTATGTTGCTTTGAATGAACATTTTTGAGTCATTGTTTTAAGAGCAATGTAGCCCATTTACTCTGTTCTACTTTTTATACATATTCTGTTTTTTGGAAACTTAACAGGAGTTTTATGTCTTCTTTACATTCTCTAGGATGCACCGACAATTAGAACATTAACTCTCATCTCAAAAACCATTCAGACTTTGGGAAGCTGGGGGAGTTTGTCCAAAAGCAAGGTAAGTCTTTACATGTCTTGCTTCTAAATGTTGTTTTACCCTGCAATCCCTATTCCCTTCCAAATTAAAAACAAAGCAAAACCAAAAATACATAGTAGGCACAGATACAGCAGCTGTCTTTTAGATAGATGTTGTGTCTTAGCTGTTAAAGACAAATTCATTTCAACTAATATATCTACATAGGGGAGAGGGTCTGGTAAACAGATGCCAGTGCCTCCCTCCTGTTTATTTGTCTGCACTGGAACCATCTAACAGCTATTGAGGAAATCTTCAGCTCCAAGCCCTATAATTCTCTTAAAATATATGATTGAATCCTTTTAGGTCTTAATCCTCAGCTTTATCAAAAATATAGTCCACTGTATTCTTAGTTCTCTACTTAATATATATAAATCCTTTGTGTTTTTTTCCTTAGTCAAGTTTCAAAGAGACATTCATGTGTGAATTTTTCAAAATGTTTCAAGAAGAAGGATATATTCTAGCAGTTAAAAAGGTATGATTGTTTTATTCTGGAAATATTAAAATTTCTTATCATATAGCATTGGGAAATAACATTTCATAATATTCCTAGGAGTTAATCCCCAGTTTAAAAAAATAATGTAAAACTATCCATCAGCTATAACAAGGCTGTCTTTTTTTCCCCCTTTCTCCTCCCATTCGAAACCATGGGGGTTTTAGCTATGAAAACACCTAAATGAGTTTAAGCAACAGCTACTATTGCCTGTATCTTAATAACAAGTTATAAGTATCTATAGTTAGGGCTTCTCAACATGGCACTATTGTCAATTTAGTCAGCTAATTCTAGATTGTGAAAGACTGTCTTGTATAGGATGTTTAGCCTCTGCCAGTTAGACACCAGGAGCATACCCCTAGTTTGACAATCAAAAATGTCTCTAAACAGCCAAATGACCCCTGAATGACAAAAATTGCCTCTAATTGAGAACCTCTGTTCTCGGGGTAAGGATTTAGTATGTGCCTGATGAATAGTAGATACTTAATTGCCACAGTAAAAAATATATGAATTATTGAACATTCTATAAACAATATAGGCTTATGGTAGTAACTCAAAAGTTACTAAAATTATATGCACAAAAACCTATAATAAATAATATCCTAACACAAGGCTTACAATGTACGAACATTGTTATACTTAGAAATAGAAAATGTTTTGAAAGGATCTGTAATTTCTTGAGTCTTTAGTTCTGAATCAGTAGCATTATTGTCATACCCTTAAAATGTGTTAAAAAAAAGTTGTTTTGAAGTATATCTAAACTTGGCTTGAAGAAAGTAATGTATTTTACTTAATGAATTCAAGTTAGCAAAGCCAAATTTTAAAGATTTCATTCAACTTCTGCAACATGATTTGCAATTGATTGCCAGGAGTATATTTTGTGGAAGTATTTTTATACTTTTTTTGTACTTTTAAAATTCTTACAAGGACCCAGTAAATGAAAATGATAATATAAAAAATTAAAGCCAGTTGGAATTTTTTCATCTAGAATAGTGCAATCTCAACCAAAATTTTTTTAATCAACCATTGAAGGCTTTTGTGGAGAAAGTCTTTCAAAAGATTAGGCAGAGAAAAAGCTGCCCTTTTATTTATAGGACATAGTTGAAACATTTGTGGGACAGTGTAGGCAGACTTTTGTTGGCAAGATTGTGATGTACTGTCTTTTGTTATAAGGTTGTTTTTCCATTTTTTATGACCTAGGCCATAGTAGCATCTGATATTTTTTTCCTGGTGTAATCAGAATGTGTGGAGTTGATAAGGTCAGTGGAGAAAGTATGTAAGGGTGCCAGGAGCCTAGTCTGTTCCTGATCTACCCTGTCACCCACTCGCATTCTCATGCACTATCACCATAGCATGCCTCCTGTTGCAGATTTGGTTCTAACTCCTAAACTAGCATAGAACATTTTGCTCTAATATAAGAGTTTTCTTTATTGTTCACTAGCTAAGTCTGGATACGTGCAGTGCTATAAAGTGCAAAGGCTTATAAGCCCAACTTCTCACTTCGTATTGTTCTCACTGCTCCAGAAGAAAACAGATTATAACTCTGAATCCTGTACTCATCCACAGAGTTTAGAAAGTGAGCCTGGATAGGTCTATAAACAGAGTGACCATTAACTTAGTGTCCAAACCTGGATACTTTCAAGAGTAAAAAGGAGTTCTCTTGATTATGTTAGGGCCACAGTTATAGACAAGGATAGCCCTGAGCACACTGGGACCTGTATTCACCTTGCCCATAGTCCATCTTAATGTGTTTTCCTTCACTTTGTCTAACTGTATTTACCCCGTAGTTCCTTATAAATATAAGAGATAAATAATAAATGTGATAATTATCATAAATAAATATTTATCAAATAAACAAATCAGTGCCTCCAGGCAAAACTAAGAAATGAAGCATTCTAATAAGTCTCACACTCCATTAGCAGGTGGTCCACAGGGAGAAGTAAAGATATGATAAGACACTTCTTTAGTTCCCTTGGATACTTGTTCTGTATCAACCACATGCGTGTAATGCGAGAGAAACTCTGCCCTCATTCTTTCACTTGCTAAGATTTCCTTCCAGCAAATAGAAGTAAACGTTCCATTGAAAACCCCCAGGTGTGGGTTGTGGTGGGTAAATCACAGCCAGTCTTAGGAGAAAGTGGCTGTGCCCACAAATTCTACTTTACATTAGGCACTGATGCCTCAGTGTCAGTCTCATTGGAATGTACTTTGTTTTTGTTTTTGTTTTAGTCCTAAATGGGACAACATAGAAAAGTATAAAGGAAAAAGCAAGGACTAAACATATAGTTTTTTTATGGGACAAAATAGGATTCTTCTCTAAGAACAAGATTTGTTCCTTGAACTACTAATTTCCCTTTACCGTGAAAGCCACATGCCAAGAAGCTCTTGACAAGTTGAGGTAGCATATTTACGAAGCTAAGTGCTCTTCACTGGGTGGCTTGCCATTGCTAGAGGTGGGTATTTTCAATTTTCTTGAGCCACCACATTCCCACGTTTTTATAGGAAGTTTGTAAATTGTGATTAGGTTCCAGGTTATTCTAGAGAACTCAGTTATACTTCAGTCATTCCTGTGAAATACTGTCTCTCAACGCTCAAGTCAGTTAGAGTAGAAGTCAGCAAACTCTTCTCTGTTAAGGGCTAGAGAGTAAATATTTTAGGCCTTGCTGGCCACATAAGGGCTCTGCCACATATTCTTCATTTTTTATTTTGTTTTTACAACTCTTTAAAATGTAAAAAATTTTCTTAACTCATGGGCCTTACAAAAACAGGCTGCAGGTTAAATATGCCCTGCCGAGCCATAGTTTGGTGAATAAACTCTTACCTATAAGTTTACAATCCTGTGTCTAAAATCGTTGGGATTAGAAGTATTTCATAATTCAGTTTTCAGAGTTTTGAAAGGTATATGTTATATTTTATATAATACCCCCAGTGGGGCCTGGGCTTGCACCCCATAATCAAACACATTAATGTTTATGTAGTGCAAAGTATGAATAGTGACACTAAGTAGATAAATATAGACTGTAAATAGCCTTACACTAGTTCAGGTTAAGTTATACCCCCAAATGAGTTTACTATAAATCAGAAATGAAACAAAAATCTCTTCGTATTCAGAGCTTTAGAGATTTCAGAATTACAGTTAAGAGATTATAGATTTAATTTTTTCTACAGGGAAATATACTCTGGGTTTTAAGTAATTTAAGAATAAACTTTTAGAATACCTGTCATTTGTAAATTAGGGACTTCCTCTACAATTAAATATGTGTTTCGCTTTATAAATTATGATTATGTGTATTTCTTAATAATCAAGAACTTCATAATATTATCAGTGACATTTAAAATAAGCTGAATTTATGATGTATCTTATCACAAAATATAATGTTTGCCTATTTCCCCATTTAGTTCTTGGATGAAATTTCATCTACTGAAACTAAAGAGTCCAGTGGTACAAGTGAGCCTGTGCACCTAAAAGAAGGGTAATTCAATGAAATTAAACATTAAAGTCACGTTTTAGTATAAATGTTAAGTAAGTACAAAGAGCATGGATCTGGGAGTGAGGAAATCTGGGTTTTTGTTCTGTGCTACAACTGCCTAAGTAACATCAATCGGGTAAGTCACTCTCTCCTATAAACTTTATGTCATGTGGGCATGACTTCTTGTCCATATAGTCCTAGAGTTGTTTTGAAAATATAATGAGATTGTGGCTATTAGACTAGTTAAAGTTACTGTTTTGAAAAATTAACAGTACTGTTCAGTCTTAAAGTAGTAGTATCATTGGAAGTTAAGGGGGAAAATCACTCATTTGGCCCTTTTAGTTTTAGATAGCATAGTTATAAATATTAAATTAACTAAAGGTTTTATTCCCTTGGTATGGCCAAAATAAATGCAAAAATTATGGATGGCGAAAACATTTTTATATACTTAATATAATCTTACACCATCTTTCATGTCATTTAAAATGCAAAGACAGATTTTTGTTTTGGATTAACTGTTTTAATATTTATAACTAAATGTTTGCATCTGTTGTTTTGGCAGTGAGATGTATAAAAGAGCTCAGGGAAGAACTCGGATTGGAAAAAAGAATTTCAAGAAACGGTGGTTCTGCTTAACAAGCAGAGAGCTTACCTACCACAAACAGCCAGGTAGTTGTGTTTATGCTTTATTGTGGGGTCTTTTCCTGGTTCTCAGTGAAGGTTTCTTTTTGCTGCTTAATGTAACTCTAGTGAACCCTTTCACTAATATTACTACCGTTTGTAGTGTCTCACAGCAATGCACACACATTAAAAATGCAATAAATATTTGACAAGTGACACCATATAAATTACATTTTTCTCCCACATGCTCTGTTTTTTAAGAATCCCTGCTGTTATAATCAATAAGAAACAAAGTTAAGACCACTTAGAACTCAGAAGTTTCTTAACACTCAGAGCCAAATTGGTAAGAATCAGTATCTAATCAATGAGAGTATTTCGGTAGTTTGCTGGATAATATCAACCAAAAATTCTCAGTCATATCATAGGTAATGATTCCTGTAAAGTTAACAGATTCATTATAGACCATTGGCCAAGCCAACTCCAAGATGGAAATTTCAATTATTTGCCTTGTGAGAAAGTACAAATAGGCTGTTTGGGTAAAGAAAGCCATTTTTCTACAATGTGGTTTGAAGGCTTCAAAGAAGCAAAGTTTGTCCATCAGTAGATTGACACAGTGCTTAAAATCTCCACCTTTTAAGTTTATTCCTTTGGGGTAAAGCGTTATCCACAGAAGGTCATTAGCTGCTTCTGATATCAAGCAAGGAAAACTTAGTATCTAGATCATAGATCACACACAGTAGAATCCCTACTAAGTTTATTCAAAGTGATCAGGATCCAAAGGTGTTTACTTAACCAAAAAAGTCAGTTAAAGCAAGAATCATTTAGAAACAACCTTTGCTAGTGTTAGCAAAGGTTTGAATGTGTTTATTTAAAGGATTTAAAACTAAAGACTTTGTCCATTTGATTTCATGTATACAAATTTGCCAATAAAATAATCAGATACATGTTTTAAAAATAAAAACAAAAAGATGCATACATATCTTAAATATTTATAGTTTACCAATCTTTTGATAAAGAGCCAAGATCTTTTCTTTGAGTATGGACCTATAGGTTGAATTTCCCCTTTGTCCTTCTTGTGCAAGTATGCCCCTAATACATCAGTTTTCAGGTTGATTTCTCCAAAGCGAAGCTAGAACTTAAATACTTGAAAAGTAACCCAAGTACAAAATCCTTCTAGATTTTCAGTATAGTCACCCTAATCTTTTACAGCTATCTCACCCCCATATAAATCAACCTTATTTGTGTGGGTGTGGATCTCCTTTTTTGAAGCTTTTCAAAGCACTTGCCTAATTTTCAAATAAATAGTAAACCTGTTAGTAGGGGACAGTCACTTGATGTGTATTTCAGTAAATTATAATTACAACATGAAAGATGGCATAAATAGGTTTGGGAACAAACCCAACGGATACAGGCTTAATAGATAGTTGCCTAGCAACCACAAGCATTCAGCATCCCATGAACATCATTCAGTATGTTTTACAGAGGAAATGGGAAGTCTTAGTCAATCCATCAAATCTGTCAGGTGAAGTAAGAGAGCTTCTGCTATAAATTCTGAAATGATAAACAGCAGACATAGGCTACTGTTAAGAGAATGTAGAGTGCTTCTTGAAGAGTAGTGATAAGAAAAATGTTTTATTTCATAATGTCTTTGAATGGCCTAGCCAGAATGACTGTATATGTCCAAATATATTAGTAAGACATAAGAAACCAAATGCATTTTATTTTTAGGCACGCAGATAATTTGTTATGGCATATAAATATGAATGAAGATCAGTAAGGTACATACTTGCCCTTCAAGACAGCATTTTTTATGCTAAGCATATTTTAAGGGATTTAGAATTTATAGCTTATGTTGAATACTATATATATAGCTTATGTTCAATACTATATAGCAGCATTTTTAAGATAGCTGTCACAATGTGCTAATTATGTTTACATTAACAGTACATTGAAATAAAATTTAATGTTAGTCAATCTCCATGAATAAATTAGCTATTTTTTTTTCTCATTTATAGCATTTTTAAATCTAAACCAATATTCTAAAGTCTTTTTTGGTTTTAGACTTCGAGAATCAGATGATAGCTTTGGACCCTTTCCTCCAAAAAAATGCACATACAAACTAGACACAATTTTGCACATAATTTCAGGGAGTTCATAGACCCAAAGTCTATTCACAATTCTCAAGAACCTCTGTTCCATCCAGTGATCTTATGAGGATAAAATTTTGTAGAATGGTTAGGCTGCTCTAGGTATAAAAAAAAAACCCACATTAAAAGTTACGTTGTTTTCTAGCCTTAAGAAATTTAACATGTTTGAATGACATTGGAGGTGTGAGCTCTATTATATGAAGTTGCGAGATTGTTTACCAAAGCCTACAGTTTTAAGCATCCATGCTTGTTGCTTTAACTATTTTGATGGATTTTTTCCAAAATGTATTACATGCTTTCCTGCCTTCTTAAAAAGAGTTCATTGAACGTAAGTTAACATTTTCTGGATGACTTGGGTCTGTCATTGATAATATTAATTATTAGATAATACTTTTATTTAGTGATGTTTTCAGGGCTGCTTATGGATGTGTGCAGCTGTTTACTGCCCAGCTAAATGCCTTGTACTGCTGTGCTTTTTGTGTTCCTGTGTTTGCTTTATACAATTTTTCTCTATCCTCTTTATGTTTAGGCTGTCACTTAATTTCTTATGCTGTCAGTGAACCATAATATAACATCTCACTTCCACCTCCATCACCCACCTCCATTTCTTACTGCTGATATACTAAGAGTGAAGATACAGGTTCTATGTGTGTTAAAATTATGCATAAGATTAAGTCTTTAATGAGCCTGGCCAGTGTGGCTCAGCGGTTGAGCATCAACCTATGAACTAGGAGGTGACAGTTCAATTCCCGGTCAGGGCACATGCCTGGGTTGCAGGCTAGATCCCCAGTGGGGGGCGTGCAGGAGGCAGCCGATCCTGATTCTCTCATCATGGATGTTTCTATCTCTCTCCCTCTCCCTTCCTCTCTCTGAAATCAGTAAAGGGGTGTGTGTGTGTGTGTGTGTGTGTGTGTTTAAGTCTTTGATGAGAGAGTTCAGGAGTTTCCTCTATGAATAAAATACATGGGCTTTGGATTCTCTGTTTGGTTGTTAAGCAAATGTTTTGTTTACTTCCTGTTTCATAGCTACTTTCTGGATAGCCATGGCTGCTAGTTAAGTCTCTTGCTGCACTTACTGTGTGACTTTGGTGTCTGAAAGAGTGCCTCCCAAATGTTCTGTAACAGCTCTGAATCATTGAGTCTCACTCTGCCGTCTTACTGGACACTAGTATTCTGAATTTTTCTACTGCTTAGAATCAAACAATACGTAATTTTCCCAAATTACTAGAAAAGGAATTAATATAATTTTCTCAGGGTGTTAATTTTTTAAGGGTGTTTCTCAAATAAGTTATTAAAATTTTGGTGCCTGCTTAGGTAATTACTAACAAGCAATAGTAAGCAACAGATCTTCAATACAACTAAATTAATGTGTGCCAAATGAATATTATAGGGCACTCAATCAGTTATCGGTCATAATGACATGTCAGTTTTTTATGGACCTGTGTGCTTGTGATTGTAGTTTTATATTGCTGTATTGTGATGCAGTCATCTTCTACAAGTGGGAGGTCTCCTGGTTGTGTGCTGGAACCAAGTGAGTTACTGATGTTCTAGCCTCTTCCTGTCTCATCCAGCCTCTTGTTTTGCATTTTCCATGTAGCTTCATCAGACTACTCTTGCAGTTCTTTAACTTGTGCTCTTTTACATTCGTGCTTTTGAATATGCTCTACCTAGAAATCGCCTCCTTTCCCTCTTCACCTCTGTAATCTGTTGTCCTTTAAGCCTCAAATCCAGCATTAGCTCTTTACAGAATTCATTTATAAGCCTCTAGCCACCTCAGTTGAGCTGTTTCCTTACTATGTTTCTTTATCTCCTTAGGGATAACCTCTGTCACATAGTATGGTTCTTACTTTTCTCTCTCTTTTCCCTAGTCTTTAAAATCCTCAGTGCTTAGGGACCATGTTTTTACTACCTTCATTAATGCATTTAGTAAATGTTTTTAATAAATGGTGTTCTTCAAAAAAAGCCATATCTTATATTGTCATCTGAATTATTTTAAGAACCACCACTCTAGGCTTCTAAACTGTTCACCACATATACTAATAATAAATTATTAACAGATTAATCTCTGAAATTTCATTGTGTGTTCTCTAAACTTGATTATATATTGTCTACTTGTGGGAGACCTGACATATACAGATACATACATATAGCCTGTACAACTTCCATGTGATAGCAAATGTTCTAACTCATATAGCTTGTGGACAATATAAAAGAAACTTCCATGGTGTTTTAAACAGAAATCTCAGTACATTTGGGTTGACTTGGTTTTCACTTGCTCTTTTTTTTAATTCTCACCTGAGGATATGTTTATTGATTTTAGAGAGAGAGGAAGGGAGAAAAAGAGAAACATTGATGTGAGAGAGACACATCGATAGGTTACCTCTTACATGCACCCTAAATAGGGATCAAACCCTCAGTGTAGGTATGTGCCCTGATAGGGAATCGAACCTACAACTCTTTGGTGTACGGGATGGTGCTCCAACCAGCTGAGCCACCCAGCCAGTGTTCACCTGCTCATATTTTCACACACAGGTCTCTGTAGTATTTTTTTTCTTTGGTAACTAAATATCATTGATTCAATCATGTATTCATTTACCAAATATTTTATTGTGTGCCAGACAGTGTTCTAGACTCTGGGGAAAACAGTAGTGAACAAAACATACCAAAATCCTTGCCCCTGTGGATCTTACAGTTTAATAATAATAGAATAGACAATACGCAAAAAAATGTATTGGTAGTCCGGCCAGAGTGGCTCAGTTGGTTGAGCGTCATCCTTTGCACCGCAAGGTTGCCAGTTGAATTCCTGGTCATGGCACATATGGAAGGCAACCGATCGATGTTTCTCCCTTTCTTTCTCTAAGCATGTCCTTGGGTGAGGATTTTTTTAAAAAAGTATGTAATATATTGGGTGATTATAAATGAGATGGACCAAAAAAAGAAGGGGAATTGAGAATGATGGGTTCATTGAGGAGATTTTCGATATTAAAATTTCTAGCCAGGGACATTTGAGCGAAGTGACATTTGAGCAAAGACCTAAAGATGATGAGGGGATGTGCCATGTGGATATTTGGGGTAGTGATAGTGCAGACATAGCTAAGTCAGTACAAAGGCCCCAGAACAGAAGAATGGCTAGAATCAAGAAACATGAGAAAGCTCATGTGGCTAAAAAGGAAAAAATGAGTAAGAGGGTAATCCTAGGAACTGAGGTTAAAAGGTCATGGAGAAGTTGGACATTGTAGGGCTTTGTGGACCACTGGAAGCCTTTTACTCTAAGATGGAAAGGCATTGGAGAGTTTTAAGCAGAGGAGTAACACTATTTTAACAGGATTAATCCCTCGCTCCAGGTGGAGAGCTGGGAGAAGAATAGAATGCAGGGGGCAAGGAGACCAGTTAAGGGGCTGTTGCAGTAACCCAGCAGGGAGAGGAAACCAGTTAGTAACAATGGAGGTGGTTAACATGGACCACATTCTGGATCTGTTTTGAAGATAGTACTCACAGGATTTGCTAGAGGATCAGATGTCGAGAGTGAGAGAAAGAGGCGGGATCCCTCCCCCCATCCTGCCCAGCACACTATTTCTTATATAACATACTTGTCTCTCCTAGATTCATTATTTATTTTGCAGGAATACTTCCTCAGAGAATTATTTCAGATTGGCTTTATGCCTGATCATTTGTCTGAGATCTTGCATATTTTTTTAAAAGTCTTTATTTTACCCTTACTCTTAAATGATAGACTGAACTTAAAATTATATTTCCTCAGAAACTTGAAGATATTACTCCATGGTTTGCTAGTTTCCATTGTTGCTGGTGAGAATTTTTATGTCAGTCTTCTGGTTCTCGGTCTCAATTCTTCCTAGAAACTCTTAAGACTTCCTTTAGCTTTCAAGTTCTGATATTTTATAGCCAATTGTACAGGTATTATCTTTTTCCTTCCATTTTCTCAGCACTTGATGGATCCTTTTAATCTGAAGATTTCTGCCTTTATCTCTTGGACATTTTCATTGATAATTTTCTCCTGAACACTATTTCTAGAATTCTTATTAGACAGATATTGAAACTTCTAAATCCATCCACCAAATCTCTTAACTTTTTTACTTACAGTTTCTTTGTCTTTTTGTATGTATTTTTGGAGAGTCCTCAATAAAATCTCCCATTTTATTTATTTACTTTGCAACTCATTTCAGTTAGCTATTTACTATGAAATTAACTCTTAATGACATGACAATATATGTGCCTGGGAGCAATGTGCTTTCTCTGTGTATGCCATATTATAATTTGTCCAAAAATGAACAAACATAGCAATTCTAGGGTATGTGCATGCTTTGTGTATATTCAACAAATCTAAAAATAGAAATTTCCTGCAGAATTTTTAAATAACTGTGTAACCTCTGTAGTGCCCCCGGTAGTGTGGATCGGCCCCCAAGACATGTCTTCTCTGCCCCCTAATTTGTTACACCCAATTTCCTTGGGTGTTCCTCTGTTGTACTATGTGTGTCTCTCCTTCAGAGTTTGGTGATTTCCTCATCTGTTTGGTGATTTTTTAATTTTATTTTTTGGTGATTTGTTCATGTATGTGTTTTACAATTTGATCACCTGCTGACTGTCCTTAGCTTACCAACATTGACTCTGAGGGAGGGGCACAGGTGCTGGTGCTTGTCTGCTGGTGTAGGTGTTCTCCTTCCCTCTGAGGGCTAGCAACTACGTGTGCCACAGCACTGCTCTACAGCCCAGTGCACATCCTTGCTGCTTTAGCCTGGGACCGATGCCTCTGTTAACTGATGCTTAGCACAAGCTGGGATGGTGTGGGGTGGGGGGATGAGCAACCAGTTGGCCCAGCTGTTCCAGATGCAGCTCACCAACTGATCATCCTGATGTAGGTCTGAGTGTGTCCATTGACTCTGGCTTAAAGCTGTCTTGTAACAAGTCCTACTTTTGCAGATGTCTTGTATGCTGCATGTCCTCTGCCTGTGGCTTTCTTCAGTTTATTCCCTCCCCATTTTCCCCCGCCATAAATTTGACCTTGTCTGCTTGCAGGAGACTACTGATAGTCTTTCCTTATTATCCCATGCATTTACAATTTGTATTTGTTAAAGTTAAATGTCATTTCCTCAGAAAAGTTTTCACTAACCACCCAATTTAAAATAACTTCCCAAGCATTTTCTATAATATCACCCCAGGTTATTTTCATTATAGCATTTGTCTCCACCTAATATTTATTTGTCTTGTGTCAGTCTTTCCAGACCTAAATGTAAACTTCATTAGGGGCCTTACATGTTCTGTTTACTGCTGAATCTCAAGTGAGATGCAGTGTCTGATATATAGTAGACATTCAGTATAATAGTTGAATTAAGTGACTTTGGTTTTTTTTAATTGTATATCACATCTGCTTGAATTACACAAATTTTAGATTTTATAAGAAGAACCAGACTTAGCAAACAGTCTATGTTAACCTCTCTCTTCAAGACAGAAAACCTTTATTAACCAAATAATTGCCTTTGACCAAAAAGTTGTACATTAATCCATGGACTAATGTAAAATGCAAAGGTTTTAGCCTTTAGCACTTTAATCCACGTATCATTAAAACAAAGCTTGGGAAAGAAAGCAAAGCTTTAATTTTCTAAGAACATTACAAAATGACCAGAAAAAGTCATAATTCTATTTGTTTATATTTCCTATGACTATATGAGACCCAGGTCTGTTCTCAGGTAAATTGTAAGTTGAAGTGCATATCCTTCATGCCATATTATTATGGAGCTTCTTTAGCGAACTCAAATTTCCAAATTCTTAAATTAGGTTAAAGATTCACTCTACTAAATAAAAGTTTTACTTTTGTTCTCTGTATCTCTTAGAGTAAATTTGGTAGCTCTAGCCAGCTGAGCAGCCAACATGTGATAGTAATGAACAATTTTTTAATGAAAAGGCATTTTGAGCCCGGCCAGACGTGGCTTAGCGGTTGAGCATCGACCTAGGATCCAAGCCATCGGGGTTCGATTCCCAGTCAGGGCACATGCCCAGGTTGCGGGCCTGATCCCCAGTCAGGGGTGTGCAGGAGGCAGCCGATCAATGACTCTCTCATCATTGATGTTTCTATCTATCTCTTCCTCTCTTTTCCTCTCTCTGAAGTCAATAAAGATATATTTTTTAAAAAAAGCATTTTGAGGGTTACTCCTTAATTAAATATTAGATTGGAAAACCATAAAAATCAACATAGATACAATCAGGTTCACTGCTAATGCAATAACTCCATGAATGAAAATGTCTCAGCAAGTTTTAAGTAGGCCTCTGTTGCTAAGTATATGTTTTTTTCAGTCTCCATATACTGTTACAAAGTATTATAACATTCACTAAGTTGTATTGAATGTTAAGAAAAGAGTTATGTGAATTTTGTTCTAATCAACTAAAGAATGCTTTTTAAATATGGCCTCACAGCAAAATAAAAATAATGGTAGATATATAAAAAATATTATAACATTTTTGTTTTCTACGTAGAGATCAAATTTATTTCCACATTTTTCCTTGAAAAATGTTTTCATTTTATACTGAAAAAGTAAAGAGGAAATAATTTATAGAAAGCAATCAACATCTGCTCCATAAAACAAAGAATATTTACATATGTGCAATTTGGAAATCTTTGGTTAGTCGTACTCCTGCCAACAAGAGGGTGAACTTAAACCTTATAGAATTAGCCTCTTATCTTTATAAATCTGAGATTATTTTAATTTTGTTGTACTTATTTTATTTTTAGGCAAAGATGCAATTTACACAATTCCAGTGAAAAACATTCTTGCTGTAGAAAAACTGGAAGATAGCTCTTTCAACAAGAAAAATGTAAGTTACAGAAATAATTAAAGCTTTTTAAATTGCATATAATTTGTTGAAATTTTTCAGGAGGTTGGTCATTTTAGTATTTGCCATTAATCATTAATATAATTGTTGTTTAGAACTCTCTTAAAATTGTCCATTATTATTGATGCCTTGTATAGTCTGCCTCACCTATTAAGTTAAAGGCACTTTTCTTAATATTACCCTATTAAACTTCTCCCCTTGACATTCAAGTCGTTAGCAACATAGCCTCAACCAATCTGTACAATCTTATCTTCTACTGCCGCTCAGCACATACCTTATACTCCAGCCAACCAAGATGATTTCCTGTTTTGCTATATTTTCCCACTGCTTTGCCTTTACTTATACTTTTTTCCTCCATCTGAAATTCTCTCCCTTTATTCCTGTTTATGCGATAGTCTACTCCTTTGGGCATGTGTGGCTTCTAAAAATTATACAAAGATGTACTGTTTAGTATCATGTGACTCAGATTGTCCTTAGGTCTAACTTGCTTGAAAAGTAACAGTTCATAAGCTACTTGAGCAGCAGTTATCTAGCCACGCAAACTATATCTGTTATATACCTTTTTCTGCTTTGTACTATGTGTTGATTTTTAAACTGTCACCTGTTTTTTATCTTAATTGCCTATAAAGATGTTCCAAGTAATACATACGGAGAAACCACTCTATGTCCAGGCAAATAATTGTGTAGAAGCTAATGAATGGATAGACATACTCTGCAGGGTGAGCCGATGCAATCAGAACAGGCTCAGCTCTTATCATCCCTCTGCATATCTTAATGGCAGCTGGCTCTGCTGTCAGGAAACCAGTGAAAACGCTCTCGGCTGCAAGCCATGTACTGCGTAAGTTTCTTCTGATTAAAAAAGCAATGTTTCAAATGTGATTTATCTGTACAATGGAATATTATTCAGCTATAAAATGAAAAGTACTGATATATGCTACAACACACATGAACCTTGGAAGCATACTAAATGAAAGGAGCCAGACACAAAGACTATATATTGTACAATAACATTTATATAGTGTCCAGAATCAGTAAATTCATAGAGACAGAAGGTAGGTTAGCATTTGTGAGGTGCAGGAGGATGGGAGGGGTGGAGAGTACTAATGGATACAGTTTCTCAAATGAATAGTGGCTGCACAAGTCAGAAAAAAGGGCAATGTTGAGATAGATGTACAAACTTGAGCCAAGAGATCAAGGAAGAAGGGCTTAGCATTCTCTTTTTTAATTGTATGGAACAGCTTTTGTCACCCAATATACAGCAGAAGTAACGTACTACTATTGTGATGAAGCATAGGCTAGGAAAATGACTTCACTTTTAAATTCCCCTCCTTTTGATGAGAGTTATATAATAGCCAAACCTCTGTTGGCCCTGTTTAATTTAATTACCGAATGAGACTAGATTTCTGAGGTTCCTTCTGCAAAATTCTGCGGTTTTGTTTTTTAGTCTCAAACTGTCAGAAGTCTTTGGCATGTTAACAAAGTAAAATTTTTCCAATGTCTTTAATTTCATTTTTACCATAGAGGTGTCCCTGCAGACATACAAATAGATATTGATGAAGACCGAGAAACAGAAAGAATTTATTCCCTTTTTACCCTCAGTTTACCTAAGCTACAGAAAATGGAAGGTAATGTATGATTAAAATATTTTTACTTAACCATGTTCCTTAATTATCAGTTCCTGAAGTATTGTTTTGTCATTATCTTAAAGTTGAAAATACTCATAGATTTACCAAAATGTTACTTTATGAAACTTGGCAGACTCCTAAAGGGCATTTTTTCATAGATATTCATGAAGTAAAAATACTATTTTTGCATAAATGTAATGGTCATAATTAATAAAATGGATGTGTTTTGGTTATCTGTGCATTTCCAGGGGAAATCTCCCCAGCTTGAGACACTCGAAAAGTTCTATTTCTATTACTGATTCCATTTATGGAAGGTAGTTGTCTGATCAGAGATTTTGCTGCTCCTTATAGAGGCTTGTGGAACCATAGCAGTGTATCAGGGACCACAGAAAGAGCCTGACGATTATTCTAACTTTGTCATCGAGGATTCTGTAACAACCTTTAAGACAATTCAGCAAATAAAAAGCATCATAGAGAAGCTAGATGAACCTCATGAAAACTATAGGAAGAAAAGATCAAGTAGTGCAAAATACGGAAGCAAGTAAGTATTTTTAAGATACTTTAGACATAGTTTGAGGTTGCCTCTACTGCTCTGTCCTCACACTGAAATGCAGGCCTCCTGCTTACCTTCATCTTTCAAGACCCAGCTCAGAACCTCCCTCTTGTGCAAAAATTTCCCTGGCCACTCACATGGTGACTTTTGTCTTTTCAGTCCTATATCATTTCCTTATGTTGGTGCTGTACTTCATCTCTACTTTTAATTTTACATCCCAGTGTCATTCATCAAAGTGAATCATCAGTGGCCTATTGTTTGTTACGTTTTTACTGATCCTCTTTCTCCTCAGCATCTCCCACAGTGCCTTATACATACTAAGTACAAAAAAAATCTGGTGTCAGAGTGCCGTGGTATTTTATAGTGGGTTTTTGGATCCATCTCAGATGTAGGTAGGTGCTACAGTGGATAACAACACAGCTAACATTTATTAGGAGCTTATTTTAGCACCAGGTACTGTGCCTAGTTCTTCACATCATGTCGCTTAGATTGTTTTAGCGGCAAGTAACAGAAAATCCCAATTGAAGGCCTAACGAATAAGAAATCTTTTAATCTCACAAACTGAGTCCTAGCTTCTACAGTTGGTTAGTTCACCAGTTCAACACTGTCACCAAAGTCCGTCCAGCCACTCAGCCCTCCTCAGCAGGATGATTTCTGTCTTCCTCAGGCTGTCCCCTCATGTTAACAAATGGGCTACAATAGTTCAGAGCCTCGCATTTTTATATAATAGTGTCCAGAGGCAGAAAAAGCTGTTTTCTCCTCACTAAGAGAAAGAACCTTATCTAACCCCCAGCTTCCCCTAGACTGCTGGGCTGCCCTGGACTAGCTCTAGAATCTGATTTCTGTTTACACAGAAGTAAATAGGGAGGAGATGGCTCTTAGACCAGCAGATAAGTGTTTGCCATAATATACACTCTCTCAGTGATCCTCACATCAGCCCAACATCGTTATGTTCCCGTTTATAGCTAGAGAAACTGAGGGTCGGGCGAGGTAAGTGTCTTGCCCAAGGTCACAGAGCTGATTAGTGAGAGGACTTTGAATCCTGGCCCCACCATTTTAGTGTTATTTTTTAATTGTGTGGATTAATAATTATATTTGTGATTTATGAACAATAACAGTCAGTTTGACAGGTATAGATGTTTATATTCTCCCTGGATCAAAGGCTTAGAACATTGGAAGGGTTATTGTGGACATCCTAATCCTGTCTTTTCTACATTAGTGTAATCAGTTCTCTTCTAACAGCAGTCATGCAGTTTCGGAGCCCCAGGAAGTTTTCACATGAGGCCCTCGCCAGTGCTTGACCATCCTTAGATAGAAGATCCCCCTCAGATACACACACTATACCCCTTCCCGGCTTTATTTTTCTTTATTAAGAAATACCAGTGTCTCTTGTACTAAATATTTCACTTGTTCATTTTGTTTCCCCTATATCAGAGTGTGAGCTCCACGGAGGCAAAGGGCTTTGTCGAGCTTGCTCACTGTTGTACCTGTAGCTTCTGAAATAGTGCCTGACGTTTAATAGGTGGTCAGTAAATACCTGTTGAGCTAATGAAATAAGACTTGGCATGAGAGGTTACCAAGGGAAAATGATAAATATTTAATGGATACTATGAGATATTTGTCACTTTTTAAATGTTACATTTTTTAACTTTTAAAAAATGATTTTCTCTTATTTTTTCCTAGGGAAAATCCAATTGTTGGGAAAACATCTTAGAGCTTGACCAATTGATTCAGAAGAACTGGAAATATTATTTTTGTTGGAATTTTTCCATTCATCCTGTGTTCATAGTATTTAAGAATGAATGTTGGCTTCAGTGTCACCTGCATTCACTTTGTATTTAATATTTAATAATTGGAATTAACTGGTTGGGAATCCTTGTATTGATATATTGCTAGAGAATTTGAAACTCAAGATTCCCTTCATATCTATGTCAAAAGCCATGTTTCTGCAATTTTTTAAAAATAGAATTTTCCTAAAGAAGCCGTGTAACAAAAGGAGAACTCCGTAGCATCTCCTTTTGTAGCACTGCGTGTTCTGTGGACTTTCCACTACCATTCGTGCCTGCTCTATGCTGCCGACATTGTAGTGTTTTTCTAGAAAATCCCAACCCATGACTCAGCTTTAGTTCACCTAGACCCTCTGCCTCTAGAAAATGAAAAAAAATACAGGATTTTCCTTTGGTCCATTAGTCATTACAGATTACAGTCAGGGCAGTGAAGGAAACTTTAGAACTAAACTGCCTATTTAAAGATGTAAACAGAACTCAGATAGGAGGAACCAGGGAACATGTACTATTGTGTACATCTTGTTTACATTTGGGATGAGTGGTGGCAAGTGAATAAATGAGACCACTAAAGTTTTTTTCAATGTTTTAAATATCAGGTACTCATTGTCTTGATTTGGGAGTTCAGGTTAACATGACTTCTAAGGACATTTCTTCTGAAAAAGAAGAGAAAATGAACAGTGAAAGAAGGTGGTGGGGAAATCACTTGACTTCACCTGTTACTCCATGTTATGTTATGATAGGGCCACCATCAGGACACCCTCCTCCTAGCGTGACTGTTCCTGAGTTGAGAGCTAACTCTAGAACAGTCACTCGGCGCACTTTAATAATCTGGGCTCTCAGCCCCAGATTATACTTTAGATACTCTGTGGTATCTAATCTTTATGATCAGTTCAATGATCGGTGTTTAAGTCTAGAAATAGTGCTTTCCTGAAAATGTTTATATTTCATTGCTATTTCCTTATTGCCTGCTAGCCAAATGGAATTTGGGCAAGCAACTGTTTGAATCCTGTTTTGCCCTAATAATTTACTTTTATCCTAAAAACCGTAACTGTAAATAAGCAATCGAAGCAAGTTGCCATCTTGAAGTTAAGAGGGACACACTTGGCTTCATCAGTATTAAAAACCACGGTACTCTTATTTTGTCTTTTTAAATTCAGACATTTTCTAAATGTGGTACTTTGAACCTCGAAGTATTTACACGTTCCTGTTTAAAACTGTGACTTATTAATGTAAGTCTAGCTAGTAGTGCTTTTTTTTGTTGTTTCCCTGAGCATAAGCTATATTTTAAGATATACTTTGCCAATTATGTTATTGGTGAGTAATTGTTTTTAAATTATATTGTTACTAGGTAGCTATTTTTAAAGACCATTGGCACACAATCAAAGTTGTTCTATAAATGATTATAACTGAGCAATGCATTTCTCTAAATGACTTGTAAAAATCAATTGGTTTTATTAAGAAACAGTTCTAGTCTGCATTAACATAGGTTATTCCTGGCTTATTTTAAAGACAAGTTTGAAAGAGTCCTTTAAATTTATGAGCTTGTAGATTCCAGAAAGTACACTGATTTATAAATCTGAAGGAATTTAACCATGTAATAAGTTTCTTATTGTTGAATTTCATTCAGATTGAAATTTCCTTTTAAGAGTCTCTGAAACGTCTACCTGAAAAGGACATGTGAGCATTGCCAGGTACCACTCATACTCTTAGTGGGGGGTTTAGTCCTCTGCTATTTTTTTCAAGGCAAAAGAAATATTCTTATATTTATAATGTCAAATCCCTGAATATGAGTGTTTTTAAAGATCATGACATTGCCAAAGGGACTGAGGCTGTGCGAGTTCGTAACTATGAATTCAAAGGAAAGAGTTCAGTCATCTAGTTATTTTCTTCACACGACACTTTTAAACAGCCAGTTGACTGGAATTAACCAGCGTGGCAAAGCCTAAAAAGAAGTAATGTGAAATTAAATTAATTTCCTTTGCAAGTCTTTTGAAATAAGAGACCATGTCAGTAGGACCCTAGATAACCAAGGTACTTGCTTCCAAGGGCCTCGTTCCCCTGCTATTACTTATGAGTACTTTGATTTTTACTACCTGATCTGCTTTCTCTGCCTTTTCCACATTTGAAAAAATACATGGCAGCTCACTTCATCCTAAAAACCTGGAAGCCCCAAGAAGAAAAGAAAACCACGACACAGAGAAACTCTTGCCATAAATGCCAGTTCTGCTTCTTAGCTTAGCCATTTCCATCAGTTGAAATTGGGGTGATCTGTTACTTGTTTTATTGTTGTTGTTTGTTTTGGTTTTTGTTTAGCTTTATTGTTTTAATATTCATTTAATAAGATGATGGGCAGTAGCAAAGTTTTTTACTCCCAGGAATATAATTTATCAAATTGAATAATTTTATTTGCCAAAGAGATATGTTTATAATATCATGGGTAATGATTAAGTGTCAAACTAGGCTTTTCTTATAATACAAAAAAGTGATGAATGCTGTGGCTTTTGTTTCTGATTTTGAAGCCTAATTTCATTCATTTATCAGAAAGTCTCATTCATGCCAAGTTTTAGAAAACAGATTTTTCTTAAAGTGAAAAGCACCTTTAATTTGTTCTAACGGTACATCCTATAAAGACAGAATGCAGCAGAGCTTTTTAGGTGTCATTATGCTATATGAGAAATACAGGACTCATTCTAGAGTTAAGTTACCAGCCTTGATTGATATGATTTGCTTCCTTTTTATAACTTGGAGATTAATATGTTGCTAGTAAATATTGGTTTTTACAGTGTCCAGTTTTAAAGTGTAAGTTATCAAAACTTAATGTAGTGAATTTGTGTAACCATGTTGTATTATTGAGAATGTATTTTTATTTAAATTTTATTTTCTTATCAAGAGTATTATAAAAATTAAAAACTTTTGTAACTGTCGCTTGGAAGTAACTCAAATAAATTACAAGAAGCTTGTCCATTCTCCATGAGACCCTCCTTTCTTACTGACTTGGGAATTCTTATTTAAAATTATTGTCCCTTGCCTGTTAGTAAGGGACCGGCAGAAGTGAGAAGTCCTCGATTACAGAGAAGAGTGAAGCGGTCTGCCAAGGGCTCGAATTTTTGCATTCACTCGGCTGGTCTCCGATGGACTGTGGTCGTTTGTTTACTCGTTCAGCAGACTTGTTTTGAGGACCTACAGTGTGCCATGCAGGGCCCTGTCGTTCCTAGAGCCACGCACGGCCGGCGTTCAGAGTAGGTATTACTCCCGTCTGGGTAAATAGTTTGGAGCTGAGTTTTCAGCCTCAGAGTTTGAAGAATCCCACGTTCTAGTCTTCTCAAAAAGGCCAACACGATAGCCTCTGGTCACTCAGGTCCTGCACTAGCTCCCGCAGGGGAGCCTACCCCTAGGTCAACTTTCAGTGCCTCCTGGATGCTAGAATTTTATCATGTCGCGCCATTTTGCTGAGTTGTTTATAGAGAATATGAAGAGACAGCACCAAAAGCTGGTTAGTAACTTGTGCCCTCAATGAGAGAAGCAGGGATCCTTCCAGTAACCTCAACAGCCCTCTTCGCGTCTCTAAACAAACCTTATGAACGGGCCCTGCGACTCCACAAGAGGTTGAGGTTAATGAGGAGGAAGGACTACTGTTCTGAATCTCTAAGGATCTTATTTTTATTGAAATACCAGATCTCCTCACACTGGCCTGTGTATTAGAATAGAACTTTCTGGAAACAGTAAAGAATTAGGATCCTCTTCCATGGTGTAAACAAGCTAGTTCTTTGAAGAGAAAGGGGGCCATACTTTAGTTAGTTGGGTTTCCCTTTCCAAATCGCACGATTCCAAAATGAGAGATGCTTGAGGCTAAGCAGAGTCCACTTATGTGTCCACAAGAATAAAAACTAAGGTGGAGCTTGGCACTGCTGGGTCCTGGTCTCTGCGGTTTCTCTTCTACTCCAGGTAAATGGCCAGTGCTGACCCTTTGGGGAATAGCCTGGCTTGGGTAGACATGACATTCTTCCAAATAAACTGACGTGTTCAGAGAGTCTTGATTTTTCATACACATCCTCACCTGAGGATGAGTCTTTTCTTGCCAGAAGGTTCATTCTTTGGCTTGTCATTTTGCCACTTGACTTAGTTTGGTGACACCATTTGCTACCATAGTTTAAGCTTATGTCTGTGTTTTATATTAACAGAGAGGCTGTAATCTGTTTAATTACACTAAATTTCTATTAAGATTTTTTTAGTTTTCTGCCTTGTATTTCACATCCTCTGTTTCATTCTATTAAAACCTTTGTATTTTCTTTGTATTGATCTGCTTTTGGCCTGGAGTTCAGTCTTAGACACAAAGTTTTTCTCATCAAGGAAGAATTCTTTCGTCTGGAGTGAACAACATCGAACCTTCTCCAAATTTAACGTAGTTCTCAACTCCTCCCAGAGCTGAGAAGGCCATACTGCCTGCACTGTTTAAAAAAAGGG